GATGGTCGCGGTTGGGTATCATGCTGGTGGTGGTGCGCATGCGGCCGGTCGGGGTGGACGGGATGGTGGAGTACTTTGGGGATGTGGGGGGGCAGTTGGGGGTGGAGGGGTTGAGGGGGCGGTTGGAGGAGGAATGTGTGAAGGTTAGGGGGAGTGGTGAGTGGAAAGAGATAGAGGGGGTGGTGATGAGGGGTTGAGAAACTGAGGATGATGGGGGTGTGTTGGGGGCGGTGGAGAGCGTGGTTTTCTTCTATGCGAATGGGGTGAGTGATAACTGTGAGTATTGTAAGAGGGCTATGTATGTGTTGGCTATGGTGGTGTGTTTGAGGGAGTTGGTGGCGGAACTGCGGGGGGGAACGGGCTCGGGGCAGACCGCGGTGATGCCCATCTACATGCCGGCGTTTGAGATCGTGCGCCGGTGGAACCCGGCCGAGAGGGAATTCCTCCAGAGCAACGGGGTCGAATTCGTGGAGTCCAATGGGGAGATGTTCCTCAAGGTAGATGAGCGGACGGTCGTGGTGTCGTACCGGAACTGGAATCCCGTCAAGCAGGTGGTGGCCGACATCGCGAAGCCTGCGGCGCTAATCTGCACGCCCGTGTCGGACGATCCAGAGCAGGACTTTGCTTGGGAGGATGAACAGGCCGGGGATACGGACGACGAAGAAACAATAAGGGTGCCTGTAGTCAGATCCAGGCTGATTAACCCGCACAGCATGGTGGCTGATCCCGATTCTCCAAGAGTCAGGAAGTTGGTCGAGGACTATGATGCGTTCGAGCTACCGGAGCTCCCCGGGGAACTCCCGACGGAGACGGAAAGCAAGGAGGCTGTGAAGCTTTATCTCAGGAAACCCGATGCCTCGACTAAGGTGGAATATTGGTGAGCAATCCGCGCGGTTGGGGAAGTGATATTTGGATGGATCTCGACGAAGGCGGGAGATATATGCGGCGTAATGGAAAGAAAAAGCTTGATACCCACCTCATTACTTAGGTACCTAGTTACCAGTGTAACATCCCTTCATCCATTTAATCCCGTTGCTGTCGGTGATATTGCCGCCCTCGGACGTTTCACGCAAGTGTCCCAGGAGATGGGTTTGCTGCACGTACATGTAGAAGGGTGGTATGTACCAAGTAGACCAATTTCATTTCTTAACGGTATCAAATATTGCGCAGACGCTGAGTAAATACAACCCGTGTAGCAAATTAGCGTACAAGGCAGACGCTGCCAAAAGACACCCAGCTTTTCACCATCCGATCTCATCAACCGCCTTCAGTGGTCATCGTTCATGAACCGCTGCAGCCAAGGGTTGCGGCCCGTAAAACTGCGAAACTTCTTGCCAAAGATCCTATCAATCGTTAGCCTCACCAGCGCATCACGAGAAAACACGGCCACTTACCACATGGGAATGGTCAACAACGTGACAAACACAAACAACGACCCCAGAATGGTAAAGACAACCAAGGGCCCCTGGGCTTCCAGCCACGAGTTGACAAAGTACGTCAGGCCAAAAGTAAGCAGGTTCCTAGCGTTAATAGCCACGAGCGCCTCCTCGTTATGGCTCTTGTAGCTGTCCACAATGTAGCCAAACACGCAGGTGGCGGCAAACACCAAGCTCATGTTGGCAAAGCCAAAGCAAAGCACGGGGCCGGTCCAGTGGGTCTGGTAATGGACAGTCGCGCCAAAGCCGTAGAAGCCGACGATGCCGAGAACCATGGCGACGGCCATGAGCGGTAGCCGGAACTCGGGCTCGTAGATGCCTTTATTCTTTTTGGTGAGGTAGACACAGATCCAGTCGTTGAGGGGGCCCGACACGATCTCGCCAATGATGGTCATGATGAAGGGCGAGAGGCTGATGAGGCCTGTCTGGCTGACGCTGAAGTTGTAGGGCGCCACGTTGAATATAGCGGCGTTTACCACGGAGAAGACGACGATCCAGGTGATGACGGTGCCTTGGAAGTGTTAGTCGTGGGACGTTAACGGGTTAGCCGTACTTGTTCTATCTTACCATAAACCAGGAATCCCCACATAACGGCCGGATAGAAGAGCATCACTACCGGCCTTGCAAAGGGCTTCCAGCCCGGGGCGCGCGAGTAGCGGCCGCTGTAGACCCGCAGGGACTGCAGGTAGGTCTGCTTCTTCGGGATCACGGTCGATTCCGAACCAGTCGATCCCTCCTTCTCATCGCTGACCCCAGCAACATCGTGCTCATGCCCAAGCTTCATGCGCCGGACACTGCCCTCAACACCAGGCTCCGCCTCGCTGGACTGGATCACCGTCACCGCATTTCTCCTGTACGCCGTCTCAGGGACCAGGAAGAACACAGCTAGCATCAGCACGCCAAAGAAGATGGCACACACGCCAAACGTCCACTGGTACCCGTCCCGCTCAATGATGTACCCAGCCACCAGAGAACCGCCGCTGATGCCTGTCAGCAGGAACAAACTCCAAAGCGCAATCCTCGTCGCGCGCTCATGCACAAAGTACATATCCCCGATCGTGCACTGCACCAACACCTCAAACGGCGCCATACCAAACCCGGCCACAATGCGGCTCCCCAAAAACGAATCATACCGCTGCACGGTGGCGCCCCAGACGCTCGTCACAAACATGATAATGATAGCAACCAGATAGACCGGGCGGCGGCCGATAATCTTGGCCAGCGGGTTGGTGATGAACAGGCTCAGGCCGATGCACAGGATCAGCCAGGCGGTCGACTGCGCCAGCACGTCGATCGAGATGTCCAGGTTCGCCGCGATCTCCAGAAACCCTGGCGACAGCATCGGCCCGTACGCGCCCACCACCGCGGCCGAGAGCCCGCAGATGCAGAGGATTAGCTCTTTGCGCCATTGCGGCCACTGGAAGGAGTGGTGGTCTTCGTTAGCGCGGCTGTGGTCGTAAAAGTAAATGTGGTAACTAATGACGTTGAAACATACGTTGAGAGGGTCGTTGGGGTCGTCCGACGGCTGCGGCACGAGGATCACGTCGGCGTACCGCCCCGTTCCGTGCTTGAGCTGCTCGCGGGGGATCTCGGCGTACTCTGGCGGGAGGTCATCCTGGTCGGTCATGAAAGCTGGGGGTGGAAGCCATCGTGGTCAGCACGCGTTCTGGCGCCCGGGATGGTGTCGTGACTTGGTGGAGAGTTGAGGCGGGCGGGTGGGCGGTGCGGAGTGCGCCGATCGCAGATCCCAATGGCAAATTGGATCTGCCGGCGAGTTGTGGTGCGGAGAGGGGAGCAGACCATGGGGTTTGGGGGCTGCGAGGAGGACCGAGGGAACTGCTTACCCGTGCCAGGCACAACTTCCATCTTCTTACACTCCAGGATTCCGAAAGGCATCGTGGGCGACTCCGGGAAAATCCAATGCAGAATACAAGAGAATGGGCGAAAGGGAAAAAAGGTCGAAGGAGGATCAGGCAATGTAGATCCGTGTGGGGGGGTCCTTGTTTATGTACGGAATACACGACAACCCCAGGGTGCCAGGAATATGAAGCCCATGAGGAGAAAGATTGGGTCCCGAAACACCAAACCAACCACACCGTCACTTTGGTGATGTTGCACAACCGCACTTGTTGGGGTAGCGTAGCCTTGGGTTCTCTTCAGCTTCCCCGGACGGTCAGACATGGTTCAGGTGAGTCCGGGTTCGATGGCCGGGGTGTTGGGGTTGCAAAGTGTTTGGCGATTGAAATGCACGCCGAGACGCATTAGCTTGACGGCTAAGCCTTTCTAGACGTTGCAACCGTGCCGTGGAAGGGTGCTCAGGGGCAAGGGTAGCCGGGATTTGAAGGCCGTCGCGAACGATGGATTCATGGAAGATTACGAATATCCCACCGAGCGACAAACCTTGGGAGAGGCTCCTGCGTAATTTGCTCCCTTTATTGTGTCGGGGTCAATAGGTACTGCCACCGCTTCTGCAAAGTAAGATGGCTACCGGAATAATACCTCGCTGGCTTGGTGGTCAGCTTCGCACAACACACACTTGATCGAATCGTCCTCGATCGGTCGGTAGTTCGCGTCCGCCAATGGGCACCGCAGTCAGCCAAGAACAGCAAGGGTCAGGGGCCTCGGAAGTCCCGCGTGGTGGCTGCACAGGTGTCTGGGGTTTCCGGCTCTCGGCTCTCGGGGGTGTTGGGGGCTGCTGGGCCGCACAAATGCAGCCGGCGATTTCATGCACTGCACCAGATTGGACACAAATGTCTCGTTTCATCAGTCCATAATTCTGGATCGTGTGCCGAGTCACGTCTTCGAGAAACATTGTCCTGTGGGATGTTGGCATCTTCAGTTTCACCCCCGGCCCGTCAAGTGACAGTGTGAATCCACCCAATCTAATAATAACAAGGCCAAACGCCCATGACCAAGAGTGACATCAAGCAGTGGATAACGCCCACCTCTCCACCACGATAAACTTGGGTAGTTTCCCTCGGGACGACCCGTTTCCCCCACGATTACACAAGGTTATTATTACCTCCCTTGCCTGTGGAGTGACCCTCTTCATCCCCACCGCCACTTACTGTTTACATGATGATCGAGAAGCGGTTTCAACTAACCAGAAGTTTGCGATCCAAAACAGTTGATGAAGTGACGTGATTAATTGCCCCGTGTGAGAGGAGTCTCGGCATACTGACGAACCCTGCCTTGCAATTCCAATAATCTCGTTCAGGGGTCGGTCCTGGTTCCGGACATGGCGCGGTAACAAGAGAACAGGGGGGTGAACAGGAGGTTTCGATCGCGCCGAAACAGCGTCGATGGTTGGTATACGCACACGAACTGTCGTTACCTGATGGTCTCGGGATGAAACCCGTACTGGAATTTAATTCAGAGGGGACTCGGGAGAAACTCGATGTCTTCAACTTCGTCCAAAACGGCTGCGTTTCTGCGTTCCTCCAGGCAAAAGCAAAGGAACCTTTCGGAACTTCGCGGAAGTTCATCTAAGCAAAAGGGACCACCCCATTGGGCGTTAGCGCTTCGAATCGTGGTGCATGTACAAACAATTCCGAGTTGATAAACTCCGTTCTGCTTACATAGACACCCCCAGCACTAGCAGAACCATCCGAATTCCGCGCCATCTCCCTAGATGGCGTCATGAAGATGTGCGAACCGACGGCTGCAAGTGGATTGTCAACGAGGACAAGGCGGTTAAGCGGCGGGAGTTGCTGCCAACAAAGATTCCCACGTTGTTTCGTAACCTTCGCGCGGAGTGTGTTGAAGCATCCCATCAAGGGATGAAGGGGTTACGACCGTTGACTCGAATGTCAGTTCGGTGGTGCAATTCTTGGCGTGATTCTGTCGACGTAGGCCCATCGATTCGGATGATTTCATCACTGAACTGGAAAAGTACGAGCTTCAGCTTTTAATGTGCGGATAATAGGTGGCAAAGACCGCGTCATCTGTGGCTTCGAGCATGTCACTATCATCAGATGGACGCGCATGCGGCTAGCACCGATCGGACTCGCACTACCTCATCATGCCAATGAAAGACAACACTAGTCGTCTCGAATACGAGCCATGATCTAATTGTTAAGGTATATATATGTGTGTGTGTGTGTGTGCTCTCAGGACATTCCCAACCACCAAACCTGTTTCTCCTTCCATATCGTACTGCAGCCAATATCCCATCAATCTTCTAAGTTGACTTTCCCTGTAATTATGGCAACTTTACAAGAGCTATACATTACCGATCCCGCTCATCTGCAGGCGGTGAGCCTCCCCAGAAAGCCATCCGACTCGAGTCTGGCTCATAATACCGCTACACCCAAGAAAACGACGACGCAGCAGACAATTGCCCCCCTTAAGACTCGCCCTCCTCCAGTCGCTGGCTGACCCCGCCACACTCGCCGCTTGCTACGACCCTCCTTCAAGAACAACCCATCATTGCGGCCACTGGGGCCAGCCTTTGGACATCTCACCCCTAGCTAAGGCCTGGCGTCAGGCTTTGGCCAAAGCCCCTCCAGCTTCACATATCACGTTTGATCTGCGTCTTTCCCCAGTGGTCCCACGTCTTCCTAAAAGGGTCGGCGGTGGTCAAGATCTAATCCGAACGGTCCATTGGAAACCAAACCGTTGGGAGATACAACGTGCCCTTGGTATTCCGCCGCACACGGTGACGCAGCTCGTGGTAGCCATCGCCACTGCGGCGCGGATGCGGGTTCCGACAGATGTGCCCTTTAACGTGAGCTACACTGGGGAAAAGGGCGTACCGGTGGAGAACATCGAGATGTTGAGAACGATGCTCAAAGGTTTTGCGAAGGCAAAGGTCACCGTGCCGACTCGTACAATTGAGGTTTGAGAAGGTGATGGAGACGCTCGCAGTGGCGGCAGAGCTCGGGCTGGACGATGGGGAATACAATATAGGTTATAGAGGGCTCAATCGACGGGCGACATCATCGCTCCGATATTTTTGATAGTAGCTTAGATTCATTAACTTGACTTGAGTGGAACGTGTCCTCCCAATTGGGGTAAAAGCCAGCATTTCATTGTGTGGCCTGGCCAGTGAAGCCAAATCTAACTAGGTGTTTACATGTATTGATTTGAGCTCCTCCCTGGTGCACTGGAATGTGGTCAAGAAAAGGGTTGCTTACAAAGGCGCAGAGCTCCCTCCTTTCCCAGGCCCGTATCGGGGATATAGGCCTCCGGGACTACCTGTTCAGGGTGAAAGTCCCGGAGGTCCGCACCCCCTATTGCGAGTGCGGGAGAGGCAGGGAGACGGTGGAGCACTTGGTGGTTTGGTGCCCCGACCCGCCGTTACAAAGGCCGTGGGACGGCAGAGAGATTCGGTCACATCGGGACCTACAAACCGTATTACGGGGAGTAGGTGCCCGGAGCAGAAGATTTGTTAGGAAGGTCCTTGGCTGGCTGATGGACTCTGGCCGGTTACTGGAGTATAGGCTGGCCAGAAGGCTGGAGCTAGAAACAGTGGATGGGGAGGGCTAGAGGGCCCGGAGGCCGGCAAAGGGCCTCCTTTCTTTTGCAGTATGACGGATTCATAGATTGTTGTCTCAAGGTGGTAGACAGAGGTTTTTATCCGGCCTATACGGTACGGTTTCCTTTGTAAATAGCGGTAGAAGGACCGGCGCGCCCCAGGGCATATCGGTGTAGGAAATAATAATAATATTTTGCATCGTGGGTGAAAACGAATATAAACTGGTCCAGCATCTGAGTCATGTTTTCGGGAACCTGGTAAACCAGCTGGCAATCTGTCGTGTTTTCCGAGGTTTGGACGTGAGAGCACCAGGGGCAGTACACCCCAGTAACACTCGGCGTACTTGTGGAGGATGCTATGACCGAGCTCATCGTAGGGGGTGCCGTAGCGCAAACCCCAATGATCAGGCCCAGAATGGCAAGAAAGAGCATATTGATTGGCGTGTTGCGGAGCATGGTGGGTTCCCGGAAGAAGCGGTTTGGTATTATGGGGAAGATACTGAAGAGCCTGGGGCGGAGTCAGTCAAGGCGAGCTTGGGGGAGGGGAGGCATAAGGATATATATGCTCGTCAATTGCCACGTTAAGTTCTTAACCGTAACAGTGACCAACTCTAGGTGGGTACTCTGGACGTTTGATCATATGTGTAACTAACATTTTCTTTTCCATTTGCCAGTTGGCTAACATCAACCACAAAGGAGGATATGTTAGTAACGCTACACAGGTAACCCTGACTGCTGCCCTACCCTTTGTTCAGCTCAGGTTGCCAGCTTAGCTATTTTCTCACCTGCCTAAAAGGGGCATCCCAAGATGTTCTAAAAGCGGGCCAACCCTGTTCTGCCGAGGTTCCAAAACGCGTCAGCAGTGGCCGTGTGACTCGACGCCGCTATTATACTATTAACATTTCCATCTCGAACTCTTCAAGTTCTCATACCACGCGCTCAACTTGAACCCACACCAGCACCAACCATCTCCCTCCACAGTCCACACCAACAACAACATCGAACCTCCAACCCCCCAAAATGGCAACCCCCTTCCACATCCGCGACGCCATCCCCTCCCCCACCAACACCGACGCCCACTTCATCACCGCCGCCTTCGACTCCTGCATCCCCCACCTCTCCACCATCGGCAGCGCCTCCCAATGGGGCACCACACCCCTGACCACCGCCCGCCCGGACTTCATCACCCGCCACATCACCGCCATCGCCGAGGCCGAGCAATCGCGCCAGCACAACTACAACCCTGCCGAGGGCCCTGTGGCGCGCGTGCTGATCGCCGAGGCGCCGCTACCGGGCCCTGAGGGGGGTTCTATCCCCGTGGGAGCGGCGACGCTGCGGGCGGGGTATCTGCCCAAGTACGTGCTGGAACAGAAGCATTTGAAGGGGGTGACGGGGAGGCTGATGGGCGGGGAGGAGGGGCCGTTTATGTTTTTGGAGATTTTGGTGACGGATTTTAGGGAGGCGACGAAGGCGTATCGGAAGGGGGCTGGGGCGGCGCTGGTGGGGTATGCAAAGGAATGGGTGAGGGGGTTGGGGATGCGCGTGATGTATGTGGATTGTTGGGCGGGGAATGAGGGAAAGTTGGTAAAGTATGGTGTTTCCTGGGGCGTGGAGTGTGAGATAGTGAGCGGAGATGCTAACTGGGAGATAGGTTTTATGAGGCACAAGGCTTTGAGAAGGTGGACGCGTTTGTGGTGGAGAAGGCTGGTGAGGAGGGGTGGCCGGGGATGTTCCTGCGAATGGATGTTGGGAAGAAGGATTCGGAATAGGTTGTTATTCGGCTTTGGGCTTGGAGGCATCAAGTTGGATCTTGTTATGAGAGTAGACGGCAGTGATTGCATTCTTGCGGTTGATCGACTCTACGGAGCTAGAAATTAGGATCGGATCCTCGATGGCGTGGTCTCTCTGTTGGCTCGGATCGTACCGAGTTGTGCATATGGCATGATGGTCGAGGAATCAAGGTGACGAAATGGACAACCTGTGTCTTCTCCCTGAAACAGCCTTGCTCACCACCGACTACGACTCCCACTCCGCCCTCTTGTTTGACTCCTGCTCCTGCTCCCCGAGCTGTAGCGTCTATCTTGGTTACTTTCTCCCCCCTGACCCCTGTTTTTACTCGTGGCTCGCCGACTCGCACGCTTGATCAAGTCCCAGTACTGCCGTTGCCGAAACTCGGCGAGTCCGTTCTGGCCGGTCCAAATGATCTCTTCCTCTGCCCAAAGGGCATCATTCGGCACCAGGATGGCCACATGCACCCGGTTGCCTTCGTGGGGACTCGACCTGGGTGGTTGGGTCAAGAAGACCATCGGTTTAATACTGCCGTCCTCAGTTCGGGTTTCGGTGATTTGAGCGGAATTGACGTGCTCGAGAATGGATCCGCGGGCGTGCAGGAGCGCAAAGAATTGCGGGATCGTAGCACAGACACCATCACCATCTGCCAGGCGTCCGCCTCCATGCCTGCTGTGACTGCGACTCGGTGGCTGGAAGGGAGACGGAAGCCTGACGTATCTTGGTTTTGTGCTTGGGTTTGACTTCCAGTCGAACGTCCGGTCATCATCGTCAATCAAGGTCACAACGGCCTTGCGCTTGATTCGCTCGTCGGTCCTCATCCGGGCGAGGACCGGGCTCGGGACATCACGCATGGCGGCAACGGGTCGAATGCCCACTGTCTCGCCTTCCTCCCCAAATAAGACCCGGTAGAGGGTGATGGACCCTGACAAGGCTTCCTCGGTCCAGGCCATCGCGGTGAGATAGCCGGATGTCCCGTTGTACTTGCTCAAGTCAAAAAGCTCGTTCTCGTACCGTTCAAAATCGCGTTGGTGTAATGTCTGAGGCATCTCGATACCAGGACTCGGCATGAAGTACATGGTGCGTTCCGCCTCCATAAAGTCGAGGCGACGAACAGAGTGGAAGACACCATGGGCGGATTCGATGATACCGCCGAGACCGTCGACGCTAATCCCTGGTAGTCCAGCACCCACGGACCGCAGCGGCAAGAAGATCCTGTCGAGTGCGAGACCTCCTGGGCGTTCTTTCTCGGCCGATAGAGTGGTTTCGGTCAAAGGTCTCCCAGTCGAGGAAAAATTGGGAGAATTCGGCGTCGCGACAACGACAACTAAGACGGCTATCTTCCCCATGACTAGAACCAGCCTCAAACCAAATTTGACGGTGTAGATGGTTGTTGGGGTTGCATATGGCCAGCGCTTCCTCCCTTTGCGGATGCGTCCTTCCCGAAACCAAGGGTATCTGCTCGGTTTTCGGCAAGTCGAGATTCGATGGTGGGCAACATATTCTCAGCGTGGAGGTAGAGTCGGTACTCTTGGAGAATAGTCTCTGCGAAGCTCAGAATCCAGATGAGAGAAGCCGAGGTTTGTGAAGATAATAGTTGCTAAGTCATTAGGAATAACTATGACAAAGGCGAAAATGACATGAGAGGTGTGCTCCATTTAAAAGACATAATGTGGTAACAGCAGTCAGGGAACACAGAATGCAGGCGACCACCCAATGGGTTGCAGCCAGTAGAAATATGCATTTTTCAAGGTAGATTTAACGCGGCGAGAAATTGGTCAAGTGCACCTTGTGACCATTCTCATCATCCACGATTCTCGCCGTGTAGGTATCTGGGCAGCATTTGGGCGGTCGGTGTGCGCTTGGCAACATTTATAAGGAGTCAGCTCCTTTTTTTTGCCAGGCTTCCAGGGGAACTCGTGTGACACCGTGCGCGGCATGACTACCCAGCGAGTCATCGCGCCTGTCTCGTGGTGGTGCGGCATGATCGTTGTCGTGTAGTGGAGGGGCGGCTCTTTCCGCAGCCAGCTGAGCGACGGCGAGTCAGCCTGAAAGTCTTGGCGTGTTTCTCAAGAACGGAAAAGTGGCTGCCCGAAAACGGGGAAAACGAAGAAAAGACTGCAAATGTTAGTGCTGATGGGGTCCACTAACAGGACGTCGGCGACACTGTGCAGTACTACTGTTAGCGCAGGAAATGAGCTCTCCATCTCGTTCTTGGCTTCGTACTTCGCATTTGCCCCTGATTGGATCTGCAACAATTCAGCCCCGAAGCTTCGTCATTTCGTCGCCCGAAAATTAAAGCTTTCGTCGCCAAAGCCTCATGCTCGAATCCGCGTAAAGCCAGGGCACCCCGGCTTCATTGGCGTCCCTTTTTTTCATCTTAATCCACCGTCATGGTCTATGGTTTTGACTCGGTCACTCGCCCGTTCACCCATTCAGAACCATGAACACATACCGAGACGACGACATGGTTGAAGGAGAGCCGCTTCTCGCGGGCGAGGAACGCGACTCCTTTGACATCGATGAGACGCCAGCTGCCACTGCTGTCACCACTGCAGCTACTTCGCCTGCTGCCAGCGAGACAGACGGGACACATCAGGCTCACGCTTTCCGAAAACATGGCCGGCGCGGATTTTTTGCCCGCTTCCAGGCGCGGAAACGCAAGACGGTAGTGGTGTTGCTGGCCGTCCTCATGTTTTCCATCGCCACAAGCGGCATGCTCATCCTAATCCCCATATTCCGTCTCCTGGAGGATGCCGTCTGCCATCTTCATTACGAAAAACCCAGATCCGAACCCATCGAGGAGCAGTTGTGCAAGGTCGATGGGGTTCAGCAGGAGTTGGCCTTCTTGGGTGGCATTGGTGCCATGCTGAATTCCGTTGTTGGCCTTCTATCGACGCTTCCGTATGGAGTCCTGGCCGATCGGTAAGTTTAACGAGCCCGAACTATTATTGCTCATAAGGATAATCCTGGTGTGCTGACCATCACCGTTAGTATTGGGCCGAAAGCCCACCTTCATGCTTGCCTATTTCGGCATCTTTCTATGTTTTGCCTGGGGTCCGATGATCCTCCTCAGCGAGACCCCACACATCCGTCTCGCCATATTCGGCTCTCTGTTTTTCTTGATCGGAGGTGGAATTCCAGTCGCCATGAACACGTTGAACGCTATGGCGTCTGATATCAGCTCAGACAGTGACAAGTAAGGAAAGACATTCGCGCACATTGCCGATGACCCAGCTGACCGCAGACCAGGGCAACTGGTTTCTTGGCTCTGTCGTTTGGTGGTGTTTCCGGTGGCCTCATTGGGCCCATCACCGCGGGTTTGCTAATGGAACACATGGGACCGTGGTTTCCCGTGGGCCTAGTCTTTTGCATCACCCCATTCGTCTTCATCTTGGTGCTGTTTCTCCCCGAGACGCTGCCCATAAAGCTTCAGGATGTCGGCGAACGGGACGAACCGCGCCCCCTGTCCCAGAAGGTCCGCGAAGAACTCAAGGAACTTGGAGTGTCATTCTCGCTGCTAAAGAACCGCAACATTGCCTTGTCTCTACCGGCCTTCTTGATTCAGCCGGCGCTGTTCGCAGCCTACACATCGACCCTTGCTCAGCACATTAGCACTTACTTCGGTTGGAGCCTCGCGCAAACCAGCTACCTCCTCTCGCCCCTCAGCATTCTGCAGCTCATCGTCATCGTCCTTTTGCCGTTTTTGTCGGGCTTTCTGACCAAGGAAACCGGACGCTTCCGCTTGTCGACCTTTTCTACGGACACCCTACTGGCAAAGATCTCTTTGTCACTTCTCATCGCCGGAGCCGTGATCGAGGGGTTCAGCCGCGGAATTGCCCTGTTCCTCGTTGGTCTCACAATCGGCAGCATCGGCTCATCTCACGGGCCACTTTGCCGCGCCATCACTACAAGTTATGTCGAACCCCAGCAGACGTCACGACTGTACGCTTTAATCAGCATGTTGGAGACGGGAGGGGCGATGCTTGGAGGACCTGCTTTGGCATGGTGCTTTACTATTGGGCTGTCTAAAAAAGGGATATGGATGGGCCTTCCGTGGTTCTACGTAGCCGGCCTCGTCCTTGTGGCTCTTGTCTCGCTCGTCTTCTTGCGAGCGCCTAAACCTAAGGTCGTTGTCCCGGACCCGGAAGAGGAGGAGAATGGGGATCTCGGCTACCTGTCGGCGGAAGAACAAGTTTGAGTACCTCCCTATCCAGGTAGGCAGCGAAGCCGACGGCGAACCGGTTGTAACAAAAACATGGCACCCTCGCCGCATCGCCGCCAATAGTCTGGCCATGTATGGGGCGCAATCACTCGTCGTCATCCCGTGCTAATATGCAATTTGCGCCGCCCTGTTGCTGTGCCACCCCCCTTGCCGTTTGGCCGCGGGGTTTGCCCGGCGTTATCCGTACTCGAGCGGCGCAGCGTGTCGGGCGTGGTGCGGGCCCTGCGGGGTGTGGCCCAGATGTCGGATGGGACGTTGGATGGGACGCTGGACATGCAGCTTAACGGCTGGGCGAAACTGTACCTAACCAACAGGCACGGTGCCAGCTGCAAGTATCACCTCAAGTCAGCCAACCGCCGCAGAAGCACAGCGAGGCAAGGTTCCTGCAATGAAAGAATACGGACCCCGTTACTCACGACCATCGTCCCTGCTGCCTTACCCCGCCATTCACTCCTATTTATGGTGTCGAAGAGCTCATCACAATCCAGCTCGTTTCTGACTTATAAGCGTCCCCATCATCTCTTCTCACTCCTCTCCATCTTCCGCTGACATCACCCTCGCTTACTACGCACCCCAATACGAACATCAAACTTTTTCAATCACACACACACATATCCCAATCATGGCCCCCAGCAAGACCCTCCTCGTCGTCGGCTCCGGCCCCGGCATTGGCCGCGCCGTGGCCACACTCTTTGCTTCCAAGCGCTACACCAACGTGGTGCTGCTTGCCCGCCGCACCGAGTCCCTAGCCACGGAGAAGGCCGCCGTCGAGGCCAGCAGCCCCGGCGCCAATGTCAAGGTGTACGCCGTCGACGTGACCGACCCGGTCGCCGTGGCCAAGGCGCTTGACGACGCCGACGCCGCTGTCGGCAAGCCCGAGTGCGTCTTCTTCAACGCTGCTCGCGTGCTGCCGTCGGCGTTTTTTGAGCACGACGTCAAGGAGATCGAATACGATCTCAAGGTGCGTCCCGCTCCTCTCCCCACGATAACAAGAACTAGTCAACTAACACCCCCCCCAGATCAACGTCTCCGCCCTGTACCTCCTCGCCCAGCGGTACATCCCACACCTCGTATCGTTGGCCAAGGAGGCCGACAGCAAGCCCGCATTCCTCGTCACCAGCTCGGCGCTGCCGCAGCACCCAATCCCGCAATTGTTCGCCCTGTCGCTGGTCAAGGCCGCCCAGCGGAACCTGGTGCGGAGCTTGAACCTAACCTACGCACCCGAGGGTGTCCACGTCGGCGTCATCAATGTCGCTGGCCAGGTCTTCCCCGAAGATCCGGTGAGGAACCCCACGAACATTGCGGCCGAGACCTGGAAGTGGTTTGAGCAGGGGACCGAGTTTGAGGTCGTTATCTGAGTTGGTTACCCGGATTGGGAGGTTGTCAGCTTTCTTTTCAAAATAGGTCGCTTGAATTATTAGTCCTAAATTGACCCTTGTTGAATATTACTTGCTGTCTTCATGAATGCTGTCTACGAATTCTCTCTGCCGTTGGCTGCTGCTGCACTCTTTTGCTCAAGTATCCCTGCGAGGAACTTGGTCTCCACCTTGTGTGTGTAGTTGACAGTGGCGATGTTATAAGTTGCAATATGAGTGCTAGTCGTCAACCAAATAAATCCCTTAGGGTCTATAGCAGAGACACCAAGACACCAAGACGAAACGCGCAAAGAAGTGAGGTGGATCAACAGCAAGTAAACTGGAATTCGATCATAAAGAACAGGTATGAGACCGATACATTGTACATGTACATCCAAACTCAAGCCAACACCAGCGCCCCGAACCTTCCACCCAGTAGTCAGTCATAGATGTACACATAACATAACACATCCTCTCAGCATCCAGTCATACACAACACCAACAAAAGAAACACCACCCAAACCCCTCATACACTACCCGTGCTCACCCAAGAAAAGTCCTTCCTCACCATAATCTCATTCCGATACGCCGCTCTCTCCTCTGCACTCCCCTTCTCCCCCGACCCACTCGTACTGACCTCCCTCCCCGAAATATCCACCGTCAACTCAATCTCATCCTCCCCCCTCAGCGTTGTCTCCGCACTCCCCAACCCATGCAACCCCCACTCCCTCCTGCCCGACCTCCCATTCCCATCCACACCCGCCACATGCACCATCGGCCCCACCTTCTTCACATTCCCCCCATGCCCATGGTGCCCATGCCCATGCCCCAGCCCCGGCGCCGCAAACCCGAACCCCTCCTCCCTAAAATACCCATGCCCCTTATGCGGCACGCCACTGCCGCCACTGGAACTACCGTGACCATGCGAGACGGCCGACGTGGCCACGGACCCACCACTTGCGCACGAGGGGCGCGTAGGTGGGCAGGCAGGCGCACACGATGCCGATGAAGGGCTCGCAGCACGACCAGATGAAGACCTTGGACATGGCCCAGGTGAAGTCGGCGGACTTGACCAGCTGGTCCATCATCACGATGCGGACGGCGGAGGCGATGCAGACGCTGGGAGGGAGGGGAGGTTAGTGCGTGTGGGGAGGTTGGGGGTGGAAAGGGCGGTGGGGGTGGAGGCGTTTGACTTACAAGCCACCGAGGAGGAGGATGCCGCCGACGAAGAGCTTTTTGGTGGGGGGCATCTTGAGTTTGAGGACTGAGGTGGGGGGTTAGTCAGGATTCTGGTTTGGTTGTGAAAAAAAAAGGGAGGGTGTGACTAACTGGTTGGGACGGGGACGAGCAGGATGGACACGTCAATGAACAGGCCGATGATGCCGTTGATAAAGTAAAACAGAGAGGCGTCGATGCAAGTACCGACCGCCGTTGGGTCAGTGTACTGCTTCCAGTAGTAGTTCACCGGCCGGCACCCGGACAGCCAAGTGATGGTGACCTCCAGCCAGTGGCAGACGGCTAGTCCGAAAACGATGTTCCAGATGATGCCCTTGCCAAACATGCGGCGGTAGAACAGCATGATCGACACTTTTGTGGCTGATATGCAAGTGATGTAGACGATGACAAAAGCATATGTCGTCTGGTACAACTTGGTGAACTCGTCAAACGTGACAACCCACAGGTGCTTTCCGCCACCCCATGGAATAGTAATGAGGCAGCACACGGCGGTGCCGATGCCACAGGTCTGGATGGCCCTTGTTAGCTACGGACTTTTGTTGGATACCTGAAGCGGAGGTAGGTAGGTGCATACCGCTGCAAACACGATAAAATAGTCATCTTCGGCAAGCCCGGGACCTCTGTGTGTGAGCCGGACGAACAACCTCAGGGCCACAGCAAACAGGCCAAGGACCATGACAGCCACGACGGAGCCGATGAGATCCCTGTTCTGATGTTCCGTGAGGTCCACCCCGGGCGGTGCCGGACCCCAAGCTCCCGAGGAAGACATTGTGTTGGGGCTCGCGGTTGGAGTTTTGCGTTGCGCAGTTCAAGTCAAGACGTAAGCTATGGGAATAAACCCAGCTGAAGAAGAGAAACAAGACTGGACGAAAGCGGGTAACAAATCACCAAGGTGTGGGTGGATAAGAAGCAGGCTGGACACGGAGAAAAGGGGCTGACTTGTCAGTCAAGTGGCGCTCGGGAAGGCGTGCATGCGTGCATGCTGCCGAGATCTGGAGATTGGGGCTTCAACGGCGGCCATTATTAAACACGACATCTGGGAACACCAGATTCGGTGAATTGTCCTCGTCGATCATGGAGGGTGTTACTGTTCCTGAAGGGACAGCCTGTGCCGTAACGGCGGGATATGCGCCACGGGCGCGTGCTTCAGATTATAACCAATGGGTTAAAACGTGCCACATTGAAACCTTCGTCGGGAAGGTGGTATCATACCTCTGCAGGTCCTTGTGAGATCGCCAAGTTTCCATCCCAGCACCGCCGCACACCTGCTTCGAAGCGACACCCAAGGCCACCAAGGCCAGGGGCACATTTCACGTTGCAACACTCTAGGTCAACTCTTGATTACGGTTTTGGCCGACGGCACGGAATTCCTCCCATGGAATGTTGATATGTTCCGTCAAAACGCAATCCATGTGCTGCAACGCTGTGGGTATCATTCTGCATATCAGTGAATTGGATTGTCGCATCTAGTTATTGTACCTGCATCGACGGGCCCATGGGGCATTGGGTCTGTTTTATTCGCTCGGCAGACACTCTTCCCCATTTGGTGCCTTGTCTGTCAGAACTGGGACTCGATGTGAGTGGTCTGACGGTGGGGGTGGCACAGAGCATGGGTAGGAGATCTGGGTACGAAACCATCAGTAAGCCATGTCAGGTTAGCTCAGCCGCCCTCACTGGGCTCAAAACCGGCTCTTGTCCGTACGCCTCGCGGGACTGATGTTGCCTACGCCGCCTGCCGATAGGCGGGGTTTGTCTCATAGGGAGGGGTCGCGTCGATAAGACGAGAAAAATCACCGGCTGTGTGGTCCAGACAAGCCCGAAGGATTCATGTAGCGACGCAGCCCTAAACAAGATCAGACGGCTGAACCACCGAAAGAGGGATAGCAGCCCAGGTTGTCCATCGTATCGACCCAATCGGTGCGCATCTGTGCCGTTCTGTATGTTTCTTCGGTCGCCGACCCTTCTCAAACTTGCCGGACACCCCGCAACTGCGTCCCTTTGAATGTTTACGAAGCCTAATGTGCCTCCAGACCTCGGTCTTTTCTTGGTTCTAGCACGATGGGTGACATTCGCCAGTCACAGTCTTCCTCCCTCTACCCCTTTCCAAACATCGGGACCCTGCTACAGGAAAGTCAGCCGCAACTAGCGAGCTACATACACACCCTGTAGTATACACCGCATTCGGGAATCAACGTGTTGGGTTACAACGAATCCTTGCTCGTTTCCCCCAGATGGTCAAGTTCCAACACACTCATCACCCACGGGGGACTTACCCCTGATGCCTTACAACGGCACTAGATGGGCCGGAACGCGATGTGCCGGCTGCCTTCAACCAACGAGTCAAACCATGCCCACTCCAGACTAAAAATACCCCGGTTCGAAGTGCGGCGTGTGAGTTCCTAGCCAACGCTGGCACCGAGTGGTGGGCCTTGCTGGGGATGCACCGGGTTTCTCGGGAGTGGTTTGTCGGTTGAGCGGTATATAGGCATCCCAGGAGTGCTTGGTCCTCGAAGTCTGACGCAGGGTCACGAATCCCAGCACGGAGTCGCCGAACCTTCATTGTTGTCTTACTCCTGACTCGGAAGTTTGTATCCATCATGTTTGACATCGTCGGTTTCATCATTCTTTCCGCTCTTGGGAGTTTCTTCACAGCTCTTGCTGCCTCACCCAAGAAGCAGTTGAAACTCTGGTTCCTCGCGTCATCAAAGACCATCCATGACGAACCGCAGCCTTTCTCCGTTCCTGGCGTAGAGAAGTCTGACGATGCCAAACTTCTTCAGGAGATCAACAATATGGCCGACTGCCATGAGACGGCGGCTCTCCTGGCGGACTTGATTCGCAAGGACGGCGCTGGCTGCTGGCCACCACGGGCCGAGCATGACCACACGGCATGGCCAGCGGCTCTTCGCCCGTACCGGGAGATCTACGAAGAGGTGGCGCCTCTGCTGCCCACAGAGCACGTCTCCCTTGACGACGAAGTCAACAAGGCACGCATCACCAGCTTCCGTACTCGCCTTCAGCAGCTGCTCCACGAACGGGTCGACCTTACCCAGGTAGAAGCACTCCTTGCAGCAGCAGATGCCGGTCGATGGGACGTCTTCCCCCGCGACACCTACAACGCCTTCTACGCCTGCGTCGCCTGGTGCCGACACGCCTACCGGTAAGCTAACCCCCTAAACCCCACCACCCCTTAAAAGAGCCCAACCCCTAACACATCACTCTCCCTAACCAGATGGGCCACCATCCCCGTCGTCCGCCTCGCCCAACTCGAAAAGACCCTCCCCCTGCCACAGGAACTCAGCCTCCCCTGGAGCTACCTCCAGTCCCACTTCGGGCTGTGCTCCGAATCCGGCAACAACACCTCCAACCTGGTCCTCAACTTCACCCCCTCCGACACCTACGCCCTACAAATCAACCCCGGCCTCTCCCAGCGTGTCACCACCTCGGAGGAGGCCTTCGCGCGCGTGTTCCACGAGGTCGAGGTGCTGGGCCTGCCGGTGTACCATGCGGTGGTATCCGCCGTGCTGGCGCACGCGCGCGGGGACATGGTGGGTTGTCTGGTGCAGGCGCGGCGCGTGGCGGCGCAGCTGCGGCCGCTGCTGAGTAGCTACTATGACCGGGTGCATGATGCGAGGATTGCGAAGTCGGCGTGGCTGTCCCATGTGCAGGGTTTCTACGCATGGGGGTTGGGGTTGGAGGGGGAGGGAGAGAGGCAGCAGGGGGGGAAGGAGGTGGTCAAGTTTGATGGGTTGAGTGGGAATCAGGTGTTGTTGTTTCAGGTGCTGGATGCGTTTCTGGGGATTGAGCCGTACTTGTCGGAGGAGAATCTGAATAGGAACGTGCCGGAGAAGCAGAGGGTGTTTTGCAGGGCGGTGGAGAGGCATTCGTTTCGGAGCCGTCTTAGGAGTGATGGGGTGGAGGGGCAGATCAGGGGGGAGTTGGGGGAGATTGTGAAGAGGTTGAGGGTGAGTGTTTACTTTTCATTCTTCTACGGTTTTCTTTGTTTATCCCGGGATGAGTCGAGCTAATTCTGTTGTTTAGTTGTTCCGGACAGCTCACAGGTCCCGGGCAAAGGCCTACTTGTCACAACCTGCCCCTGAACGACTGCCGATGACGGCGGGCAAATCGCTACTCAAGGAGGATATGGACCAAAGTCTGGAGTACCTTGATGAGTTCATGGTCGGCAGATTGGCCCAAACTGTCTAAGCCAATTAAATTTCTTTTTTTTTCGTGCCATGTAACAATGATACGTAGACCCCTTGGTTCGGTACAAATTAACGTTCTGACAGCGTCTGAGAGCCCTGTCGTGAGATCAGATGCCACCCCACGTGCATGTCTGTTTGAGGCACAGCATGCACCAAGGCCACCGGAACTCGGTGGTTTACTGAGCTCCTCTCCTCACACTAGGCACTCAACAGACTGTTCCGGCAGGGATCGGTTAGAATTCGCCGATCGCGCCGACTCGAGTAGCATACCTATGTAACCGCCGCGCCGCTTCGATGCCTTGTCTCCATGGAAGTCCACGATTCCATCCTGGTCGCGCTTAAGGGGTAAAAGTGAGAGCTACCGGTCGGCAGCCTCGGCGCTTAAATTCTGTGAAGGATTCATCCGCCAAATTATATGCATGTTGCAACGGAGCAGACCTGTATGCGCAGTTCTGCGTCTGCATGAGGTTGTACTACCCCGTATGCTGAAGGAAGCATTCGCGTTACCCGTGGGATTCTTTGAGAAGGCTCAGCGGCCTTGGATCCCACTCACAATGCCGCAAAGGGTTGTATCTGACGGGTTGGGATAGTAAAATCCGTCCCGGGGTATCCGGAATATCGATTAGCCAAGCTCTCCTTGCAAACCAACCAGCCGTTAAATCTTCCCATCTCGTCTTTCGTGGCACCGGTATTGCGGCACTGCCTCATATCTGGCACGAGTAGCTACGAAGATTTACAAGGACCACACAAAGTGTCGCTGACTATTCCGTAGTTCCTTCGCCGCAACTCGTATGCGTGACAATCTGAGCCTATCATGCAGCAGCGTGGCCGCTCTACGCCGCTCCAGTCCCCAACAGGGAACTTTGCCCGACATCAGCGGCGTAGCAACCCAGACGCGCACGTTGGCGAAACTGACTATTCGCGCGATGTTTCCCAATTCTGTTACAAAAACCACCCTTCCGGTAACTAGGCAACCGTTAAATCCGAGAACGCAACCAAGTTCGAGCTTCCTTTTTCGTTCAACACCAGACGCGCCTGGCGCGGCACGGGTTACAGTCTTGCAGTCATGTTAGATGTGTGTAGCCTGCTGGGTTACCACCATGATTTCATAGCGTGTTCTCTTGCAAAATGTTAGTCAGGGCTGAACAAGCAAGAGAAGTCAGAAGTTGAGGCTGGATTAGCGTGGTCCGACCCAAAGGTGGTCACGCAATAGACGATTAAACTGAAGGGTCGTACTGCCGCCCACCCCGCCGCTCGCATAATGGTGACCTACGATCTGGTTTGGTTCATGGCGGAATCGAGTGGAGCGTTGATTCCTGCCGTACAGAAACTGGGAGGAAGCGGTCCCTCGGAGCACAGCCCCCGGGGCTATGATACATGATGTCTGTTCAACAGTCCCTGCCAAAGGGAATGGCGAGTCCAGGACCCGGGGGTTCTGACATCTGATTAACTGTTTGGATGTAGCATTGTAAGTGAAACAACGAGAAAAAAGCAAGCTTGTACTTGATCACCCCTGAAAAGAATGAGCTTGTAGTGATCTATTATCCACGAGGCACGGAGTCGGCGAAGCTATTATACCGCAGCCGAGCACCAAGTTCTTGAAAAATACTCGAGTCCACTAATCCTGTATTAACAAGAGAAAGTTGATGGCGGTATATGTACGAGCGCATGTATTATTCCAAACGACTTCCTTGGTATTGGTCCTCTTTTAGGAATGTGACTTGCTCTCTCTCCTTGATTACGTGTTCGTGATGTTGAGCAACGCTGTGTCTCCCTTGGGGGCCGCAACCTCCGAGTCCGCCAAATTCAAGACGCCACTTGTCTTGCTCTCCTGCGGTTTAGCAGGCGTTGTACCAGTCAACTCAGGCGGACCAAGCAGCCCTAACCCCACCATCATCAAACCAGCGAACAAATATCCAAGGAAGACAAACATACCACTGACCTCGAGAGCAATATAGAACGTGCTGCGGTACTTCAGCAACATCCTGACACCTCCTACAACACCCATTACCGTTAGCAACAACGCCGGCCGCCCCCGAACCGCACACCATGTACTCCGCCAAAGGAGCGGCCCAATACCATTTTCCAAATAATACTCCAGCTGCCAGGCAACAAGCGGCAGATGTGCCCAGTTACTCTCCAAAGCCCTCACCAGCGCAACGCGCCCTACCCTACCCCCAACAAGCAGCCTGTAACATGCAACCAGCCACGCAGCCGTATTCATGCTTCTCGCAAAAACATACTCGGCCGTGACCAACACCAGAGCAGATACCCCACAGCCCCACCCTCAACAGGGCTCCCTCTCTTTTTCCCTCGCTCCGCCCCCCTTTCTCTTTCCACTTAACCTCACGCCGTTCCCTTCTAACCCCCCACCCCCATCTACCGCCTTCCAAACCCCAA